GAAACTATTCCAAAGAATTGAGGATGAGGGGCTCCTCCCTAACTCATTCTAGGAAGCCAGTATCAGCCTAATACCAAAATCTGGCAGAGAAACACACAAAAAGAAAACTTCAGACCAATTACTCCGATTAATATAGACACAAAAATTCTTAACAAAATTCTAGGAAACAGAATCCAGCAGCACATCAATAAGTTAATAAACCACAATCAAGAAGACTTCAGTCGCCGGGCGCGGTGGCTCAAGCCTGTAATCCCAGCACTTTGGGAGGCCGAGACGGGCGGATCACGAGGTCAGGAGATCGAGACCATCCTGGCTAACACGGTGAAACCCCGTCTCTATTAAGAAATACAAAAAACTAGCCGGGCGAGGTGGCGGGCGCCTGTAGTCCCAGCTACTCCGGAGGCTGAGGCCGGAGAATGGCGTGAACCCGGGAGGCGGAGCTTGCAGTGAGCTGAGATCCGGCCACTGCACTCCAGCCTGGGCGACAGAGCGAGACTCCGTCTCAAAAAAAAAAAAAAAAAAAAAGAAGACTTCAGTCCAGGGATGCAAGACTGGTTCAACATATGCAAATCAATAAATGTGATTCACCACATAAACAGAACTAAAAGCAAAAACCATATGATCATCTCAATAGATGCAGAAACAGCTTTTGATAAAATCCAACATCATTTCATGTTAAAAACCTCAACAGACTAGGTATCAAGGGAACATACCTCAAAATAATAAGAGCCATCTATGACAAACCCACAGCCACCAACCGACTGAATGGGCAAAAGCTGGAACCAATCCCCATGAGAAATGGAATGAGACAATGATGCCCACTCTCCCCACTCCTATTCAACATAGCACTGGAAGTCCTACCTGGAGAACTCAGGCAGGAGAAAGAAAGAATAGGCATCCAAATAGGAAAAGAAGAAGTCAAACTATCTCTCTTTGCTGATGATACGATTCTTTATCCAGAAATCCAAAGACTCTGCCAAAAGGCTGCTAGGACTGATAAACAACTTTAGCAAAGTTTCAGGATAAAAAAATCAATGTGTAAAAATCAACAGCATTTCTATACACCAATAATGTCCAGGTTGAGAGTTAAATCAAGAACAGAATCCCATTTACAGTAGCGACAAAGAAAATGAAATACCTAGGAATGCAGCTAACAAAGGATGTGAAAGATCTCTACAGGAGCTACAAAACACTCCTGAAGAAATCAGAGATAACACAATTAAATGGAAAAACATTCCATGCTCATGGATTGGAAGAATCAGTATCATTCAAATGGCCATACTGCCCAAAGCAATTGACAGATTCAGTGCTATTTCTATCAAACTACCAATGTCATTCTTCACAGACTTAGAAAAGAGTATTCTAAAATTCATATGAAACCAAAAGAGGGCCTCCACAGCCAAAGCAAATCTAAGCAAATGGGCAAAGCCAGAGGCTTCAAACTATAAGGCTATAGTATCCAAAACAGCATGGTACTGGTACAAAAGCAGACATATAGATCAATGGAACAGAATAGAAAACCCAGAATAAAGTCTTACACTTACAACCATCTGCTATTGCAAGGTTGACAAAAACAAACAATGGGGAAGGGACTCCCTATTCAATAAATGGTGTTGGGGTAACTGGCTAGCTATATGAAGAATAATGATACTGGACCCATATCTTTCATCACATACAAAAATTAACTGGAGATAGATGAAAGATTTAAATGTAAGACCTCAAGTGATAAAAATCCTAGAAGAAAACCTCAGAAGTACCCTTCTTGATACTGGCCTTGGGAAAGAATTTTTAACTAAGTTCCCAAAAGCAATTGCAATAAAAATAAAGATTGACAAGTGGGACCTCATAAAACTAAAGCGCTTTGGCACAGCCACAGAAACGATCGGCAGAGTCAACAGACAACCCACAGAACAGGAGAAAACATTTGCAAACTATGCATCCAACAAAGGTCTAATATCCAGAATCTATAAGGAACTTACACAAATCAACACACAGAAACCAAATAACCCCATTAGAAAATGTGGAAAGAACATGAACACATACTTCTCAAAAGAAGACATATGAGTGACCAATGAACATATGAAAAAATGCTTCACATCACGAATTGTCAGAGAAGTGCAAATCAAAACCACAATGAGATACCCTCTCACACCAGTCAGAATGGCTATTAATAAAAAGTCAAAAACAACAGATGCTGGCAAGGCTGCAGAGAAAAGGGAATGTTTACACATTGTTGGTGGGAGCGTACATTAGTTCAGCCACTGTGGAAAGCAGTCTGGAGATTTCTCAAAGAACTTAAAACAGAGCTACCATTTGACCCAGTAATCCCATTATTGGATATATACCCAAAGGTAAAAAGACCATTCTACCAAAAGACACGCACACTGATATGTTCATTGCTGTGCTATTCACAATAGCAAAGATATGGAATCAACCTAGGTGCCCATCAGTGGTGGACTGGATAAAGAAAATGTGGTACATATACACGATGGAATTCTACGCAGCCATAAACATGAGTGAAATCATGTCTTTTGCAGCAGCATAGATGGAGCTGGAGGCCATTATCCTAAGCAAATTAATGCAGGAACAGAAAACCAAATACCACATGTTCTCACTTATGAGCTAAACAGCAGGTACTCTTGGACATAAGGATGGGAACAACAGACACTGTGGACTACTAGAGGCAGGTGGAGGGAGAGGGGTGCGGGTTGAAGAACCACCTGTTGGGCATTACGTTCACTACCGGGATGCAATATACTGACGTAACAAACTTGCACACATACCCCCATATGTAAAATTAAAGTTAAAACATTTAAAACATGAGTATCATTCTGATCTAAGTTTCTTGAGTTGTTCAAAGAATCATTCATTTTGTATCCTAAGAAAGCAATACCCAAAGAGGCCTTAAACGAGTTTTCTTTGAATAAGTAAAAGCAGAATAGTGTGACAACCCATAATTTCCAGAAATTGTGGTGGGTCTTGGAGATCTGGGGAAAAGAAACCTTAATGGTAATCTCCTTGTTTCAAAAAGTGAAATCCTTAAAATAAAAAAGGGAGTTTCCTTCCTTCCTGTATTTCTAGTATTGAAAAAGACAGATCTTACTCTTCACTGAGCCAGCTAAGTATTTTCCTCCCTATTCACCTAAACCCAGGACATACTCTGCCCTCTGGAGATTATTGCTGTGTGAATTCTAAAGGAAACAGTATAGCCTATGTTGTGCCTACACATGTTTCTGTCGTATGAATGGCAGGGTGTAATATTAACATGAAAGGAATTTGAAAGCATGTTCTATGATCTTTTCCTCAAAGGGGAGCCAGATCAGGGAGAGTAAAGGAAAAAGGCCTTTAGTTGGGCTGCTGCACTGGCCGTTGGAACATTTTCTGGAATATTTAGAGGAGAAAAAAGTCACCTGCAGCGAGGCCGCTCACCAGCCTAGTGGGGCTCTGCTGCCTTCTGTGCCCACCATGGCTCAGGGCTCTACTCTCATCTGTGCCACTCTGGTACCCACAGCCCTTATATCAAGTATTTTTCTATTTCCACTCAAAAATTAAAAAGCTCCTATGGCAAACTCCAGACACTGAGTTGCTAACCTGGGTGGTCTGAGCGGTTAGTGTGCTGGTTACAAAGTTGCTATGCTGGAGAGATTTGCCTTGAACTCTCAAACCCTGTATTTTCATGAACTGCTTCTTCTTTTAATGCTTTCTGTAGAGTGCAAGGTTTTTCAGGAATGAGTGTATCATGTTTTAGCAGTGACACTTGTCTTATCAGTTGTTACCTTTCCTTTCCTGATGAACTCATCTTGGTCTAGATTGTTGAGGGCCTTGCCAATAAAAGGAAAATCATTCAAATAAGAATAATGTCAATAAAGCCAAAATAGAACGTTTTCAAGGACAATCATGGCCTGAAGATACAGTGGCAATAAAGGTATTTTGAATAAAGTAACACCCACAGGCTGGGCATGGTGGCTCATGCCTGTAATACCAGCACTTTGGGAGGCTGAGGCAGGCAGATTGCTTGAGTTCAGGAATTTGAGCCTAGCCTGGGCAACAATGCCAAAACCTCGTCTCTACTAAAAATACAAAAAATCATCCGGGTGTGCTGGCATGTGCCTATAGTCCCAGCTACTCAGGAGGCTGAGGTGGGAGAATCACCTGAGCCTGGGAGGTTGAGGCTGCAGTGAACCAAGATCAACCCACTGCACTCCAGTCTTGACAACCAGAGTGAGATGCTGTCTCAAAAAACAAAAAATACAAATAAAATTTGTTAAAAAAAAAAAAAAGTAGCACCCAGCACCAAAGAGGAAATAATAATGGTTTCCTGTAGACATAAGGCTAAGCAGTGTTTATAATGAAAAGATGACCTCCCTTCAGAGCTCCCCCAAGCTTAGGTGAAGTTGGTTGGAGCAGGAGCAGTGGATTTCAAAATAATACACCTAGATTACCCTAAGAACACATAATTCTTTTGACTTCACTTACAATGTTATACAAAAGCAGAAGTTACCAAAGATTACTTATCCTTCGTATTTACCACAATCTTTTTACCCCAACCCCTGTGTCTATGTGTAATTAAAGGAAGCTTGTCAAGTAAGCTACTTATTGAATACTTGGAATGAGAGAGGGTGTGCTGGGAGTTGGGGGACTGCTTGTGTGAAACATTTCTCTCTCCTAGATTTAAAACTTAGTCTTTGTTGCCAATCTGTTAACAGACAGTTTGTAAATGAAGGGGAAGAAAAATATATAAATTAGCTTTCTAATCAATCTGAAATTACAAATGTGAACCACAGCAGGGAAAAAATACTTGACCAAAAATATGTAAGTAAGTGGGTGCTGGGGAATCACAATTTTTAAATATCTCAAATTTTTGATATGAAAGTTCTATTTCAAAGTTTTCAAAATGATGCCGAATGTTCCTGCATACTGTGTTCCAAATGTATGTACACACAAGATGGAAACTGTGAAGTATGTGCCTTCAAAAAAGAAAAAAAAACTGACATTTTACCTATATATATTTAACAGATTTATCAAGAACATATGTAAACATATATAAATACAGGTATCTCATCAAGGAAGATTTAGGACATATGAATATGTGGCAGGGGTTGGAATGAACATAATTCTTTCCCAGAAGGGGAAGGGGGAACTATACTTAATTGGATCCAGCTACAACGTAATTGTAAGTCACTTCTCACCAAAAAGTACCTCCACTGCAAATTGTGGTGGATACATTTTCCATGTTTTTTGTTTATGAAGATTATCCAATTCATTTCTTGGTAGATAAAGCCTAAGAATAGAAAAAAAAATTATTACATTTTCTACTGGGGCTAACCGAAAAGCCACGCAGTTGGGTACCCACGTTAGAGCTGGAAGAAACAAAAAAAGAACCTCATCATGAATAGAACTTCGGCCCCTTTTTTGTGTCTCAGTTGGCTCCTTCCACCTTTTTAGTGAGACTTAAAAATACTTTAATCTTCAGCAACACATGAGTAACACATGCTGACTCTCTTACCATTGCTTTATATGGAATTAATGACATCCAAGTTTAATAAAATATCTCCATTTCTAAATGGGACAGAAATCAGTCAGGATAGACATGAATGAAAACCCAGGAATAAAATACTATATCTCTTTTAATTTATGTGTGAGGTTTGCAATATTTTGAATTTTTACAATCAGACCTTGGAAATGACCTTGAGGAGTAGGATATAACTCCCACAGGCTGAGCATTCCAATAATGGAACACTAGGCATGAATTGGTTAACCCATTTATGCCTAGTGTTCTAAATGATAGAAGTTAGCATTTTTGGCTAAACAACAATCTCATAACGAACAAAAAGCTTTACCAATGGTATATAAATTGAAATATTACAGAAATCTTTAGAAATGTATATAAAAGTAAGAATAAAAGTGATCTAGCTTATCACTTCTCCAAAATGAACATAGTGTTTTAAAGGAAAAAAACTATCCTTTAGCACGAACCTCTTTTGACGAGCAGCATCAAATGAAGCTTTACCCAGGTCTCATTTTGAGGGACTTTGCTCATGTTAGAAGAAAAAGCTTATTGCTTGTATGCATCAAAAAAAAAAAAAAAACTTGTAAAAAATTTCCATCAAATCCAAAGTTCACTCTATCAAAATCCATTAAATGTTTTGCATTGCAAGTATGTAGGCCAGATTAATTTGCCATTACCTTGCTGGACTTAAGGAGTTATTAGATCCAATTCACATTTGAAGAAAAGATTAGGACTGGATGTAACAATAACTATCAATTCATGCCACATATAATCATAGCCACTTCTTCAACTCTGACCTACATCATTTACAACAATTTTGTCCTTTTGTATTGAAGAGTATGGTTGACACAAAAAAAAATCTCAATTTTTCACCATCACAGAACAAATGCTACTTATAGTGGAGAACTTCTAGACTGAGAAATGAGGTTCCAAATATGGTAGAAGGTTTCTTGGAACAATAATCTCCAAGCCCAATTAATAATTTTTCAGAAAGTTTTCCCAATTCAGTTACTAGAAAGCCACATTTAAATGGCTATTTAAATAGATTATTACTTAATGATATTTTTTAGCTGTATTCCTTAATACTGTGTCTTGTAACTTCTCCTAGATATAAGTGTGTCAGTCAGCTTTTCAGCTAGCTGAAGCCTCCCTAGGTCCTGCCTCACTTTAGCACAAAATTTGGTGATGGTTCATCATTGGTAAATCAGCACCTACTGACGGGGACCTGCCATACTGAAGGCGCTGAGCAGACTCATATTGAACTTCTTTGAGAGGAATTGACTACCACGCTAAAAATCTGATTATAATACTTTTGAACTCATAACGCAGTCCTATGGCATGGACCTTGAGGATACTGCAACAGAGGGTCTCAAGAACAAACGTATTCTTAAAATAACCAAAATAAGAGGAGTAAGGCAATGAACAATGGTGGTTCGATAATTTTTTGCTTTCTATAAATTAAGTTTATGACAACCAGCAAAAGACTTGCCGTTACACCTCATACATAGACATGGAAGATTAGGCTGTTTCTATGGGTTTATATTATATTCATACCTGTTACTTTGAATAAAAGATGTGTTGAACCAGAAGAAAAATGGACAATTGTCATAGTATTTAGGAAGACTCTAAAAAGAAAAAAAAAAAATTCAAAGTAAAACTGATCCCAAGAACTAATCATTCCAAAGAAATTAAAGTTCCTTCCTTTATTCCGTTATATATTTATCAATTATAACCATTAAATATGTAACACTCTGCAATCTATAACAATACACTCAAGATACAAAGGAGGAGGCTTGAAGAAAATGCTATTGTATTCTTTTGCTGTTTCTATCCACATTTTCAAGGAAGAGTATTTTTCCCATGATAGGTATTTAATTTAGATGCTGATATTTGAATCTGGTTTAGATAGTGCCAAACAGACTCTACTAAGGACCTATGCCTATATAGACCCAAGTATATTGTAGTGAATTCTTATCATTTTTTTTGTTGCCTCAGCATCCCTTTTAAATATAAATTGAACTTTCTGGTATCAGAAGTGGGGTTCAGTCACCCTCAGCAGTTTCCAGTTCACCTCCTCCCGGTTTCTCCATGTGACTGATCCCAATGTCTGTCTTATACAACCTTCTCCTGGTGACCACTTCATTATGGGACAGCTAGATATAACCTACTTGACTCACCCCACAGACCCCCATACTCTACAGGGACCACGTGGATATATCAGTGACCACCTCTCAGTCACAGCAGAGACTCATGGCTGCTTGCATGAAACCAAATTAGACCTCCCCGCAGGAAACCTGCTCAGGTAGCACCTTACATCCCAATAAAGGCTTCCACTCTTAGGTCCTTCCCCCTCTCTCGCTACTGCTCCCACCCATCAGTCGAGCACAGGTCCCCCTTCCAGTTGGCCCTGCGAAGCATGTTGCCCTCTTCTCTCTGGAATTAATAAAAAACTGCTTTGGTTATTTCATGTGTTGTATTGTGCTGCCTTCTCCGTGTTTCACCCAACTGAGTCACCCAAACCTAACTCTCTTTCCAGTCAGTGCTCCCAGCTACTCGGGAGGCTGAGGTGGGAGGATTGCTGGAGCCCAGGAGGTTGAAGCTACAGTTAGCTATGATCACGCCACTGCACTTCAGCCTGGGTGACAGAGTGAAACCCTGTCTCAATTTCTTAATTTTTTTAAAAAGGTGCAAAACAAAATGTAATCATTGCTATGCAGTAAAACATACCTTTTTTTTTTTTTAGCATCTTGGCTTTTACTTTTTTTGTTTATTTTGTATGTTTTGTATTTGAGAATACATGTAAATTAAGAAAAATTTAGAAAATTTACAATTAAAAAAACAAACAAAAATTATTTACATTACATATGCTCTTTTAAAAAAATTTGTTATAGATCTGATTTATTGTTTTCCTCCCCCTCCCTTGTTGGTAATTGTAGTAAAGCAAATCTTAAATAAAATCATTAGACCAGACAAGAACAATGGCAGAGGCTATTTTGTGATTACTCACCGAAGAGAAAAACTGCACCTTCACATCATCATACAGAGGGGGACTGTTGAATACATCAGTTAATACTCTGTCTGTTTCAGTGTCATGCAATATCTGTGAATGAACACATGGAATTCAGAACTATAAACCTAGCTAATGATAACAATGAAGTTCCTTTTCACTTATCCAGACTTCCTATATTTATCAAGTATTTTGGTTTCACAGCCCAATCACTACATGTATAAATTATAATCTTTTCTAGTTGCAATACTATTGTTGGGGTGTGTGTGTGTGTGTGTGTGTGTATGTTTTCGTTTGCTCTTTATTTTTTGAGACAGAGTCTCACTGTCACCCAGGCTGAAGTGCAGTGGTGTGATCTCGGCTCACTGCAACCTCTGCCTCCCAGGTTCAAGTGATTCTTCTGCCTCAGCCTCCTGAGTAGCTGGGACTATAGGCACATGCCACCACACCCAGCTAATTTTTGAATTTTTAGTAGAGATGGGGTTTCACTATTTTGGCCACCCTGGTCTCAAACTCCTGGCTTCAAGTGATCTGCCCACCTGGGCCTCCCAAAGTGCTGGATTACAGGCATGAGCCACTGCACCCGGCCTGTTGTTTATGTCTTTTAAAGGCCAACATGTCTGAGGGTTATCATGAACCACTTTTCTTTTTCTTTTTTTTTTTTTTGAGACAGTCTCACTCTGTCACCAGGCTGGAGTGCAGTGGCATGATCTCAGCTCACTGCAACTTCCACCTCCTGGGTTCAAGTGATTCTCCAGCCTCAGCCTCCCAAGTACCTGGGACTACAGGCATGTGCCACCAAGCCCAACTAATTTTTTTTATTTTTAGCAGAGATGGGGTTTCACCATGTTGGCCAGGATGGTCTCAATCTCCTGACCTCGTGATCCACCCGCCCTGGCCTCCCAAAATGCCGGGATTACAGGCAGGATTACAGTGCCCTGCCATGAGGCACTTTTCAAAAGTGTCTCACTTTTCAGAAGTATTGAATTTTCTATTAGACTTTAATCAATTAAATATTATTATTTAATGTGTGTCATTTGATGTTCATGTGTTAGGGCCTTTTTTGAGAATACATTAAGAAGCTCAATTTTAAAGCTAGCATTGACATTCAAAAAGCAATGCGTAACTCATCATGGTTTTTTATTTTCTAAATTTAAAAAATAACAATGGGGGTTTGTAACACTTGGGGGTTGGGCCTGCATGCCCCTTCCAAGGGAAGGGGAGAGTGGGGTCCCCCTGCTCATCATATTTTATCAGAACTCATGTATTTGTCAATGGGATCTTTGAACTTGACCAGTGCAGGCTGCTGGATGGAGTGACCAAAGATAGGTCAAGTTTTGGAATGAATGACTTTGAAGCTATATTATTTCTTTGACTCACTCTCATATAAATAATAGCACCCACAATAAGAAAGGTCTATGCGAGGCCCTGTGAAAAACACAAAAGGAGGTGCAGACTCTTTTGGTCCCTTCAGGGAGCTGTACACATAAGAAACAATAGTAGAATGGTACATAACTGAATATGATGATAAAGACTGGGTTTGCTGTTAGGCACTACCGGGGACTAGTTAACAGAAGGTGCAGAATGCGAAAATTTCATTAAGAAGGTAGAAACTGAATTGGGAATGAAGCAGTTTAGATCAAGGAAGAAGAGCTCTGAAAATCCAAAGGGAGGGAAAAAGACCAGCAATAACACAAGGTAGAAATTAGAAACATGGGCCGGGCGCGGCGGCTCCCGCCTGTGATCCCGGCACTTTGGGAGGCTGAGGCGGGCAGATCACCTGAGGTCGGGAGTCCGAGACCAGCCTGACCAACACGGAGAAACCCTGTCTCTACTAAAAATACAAAATTAGCCAGGCGTGGTAGCGCACGCCTGTAATCCCAGCTACTTGGGAGGCTGAGGCAGGAGAATCGCTTGAACCCAGGAGGCAGAGGTTGTGGTGAGCCGAGATTGTGCCAGTGCACTCCAGCCTGGGCAACAAAAGCAAAACTCCGTCTCAAAAGAAAAAAAAGAAAGAAAGAAAGAAAGAAAATCAGAAAAACAACAACAAACAATGTCGGGCAGTGTGGCTCATGTTTATAATCCCAGCAGGTTGCAAGGCTGAGGTGGACAGGTTGCTTGAGCCCAGGGGTCTGAAACCAGCCTGGGCAACATAGCAAGTCCCAGCCTCTACAAAAAATTAAAAAAAAAATAAAAAAAATAAAAAAAATTAGGGGATTGCTTGAGCTCAGGAGGTTGAGGCTGCAGTGAGCCATGATCACGCCACTGCGCTACAGCCTGGGCGACAGAATGAGACCCTGGCTCCAGGAAAAAAAAAAAAAAAAAAAGGAAAGGAAGAAAGGAAAGAAAGAAATAACCAACTAACTAACTAAATTAGAGCTGTGTCACAAGAGCCAAAAGGGATGACCCAGTTTATTTGGAAAGAAGTCTGCTGGTCAAGCTACTGATGGAAAAAAGCTCAGGTATTACGTTAGGGCTATTATATCTTAAGAGCTCAAGAGCCAAGGAAATAAGAGTGAAGGTGTTGAAAAATACGGTGGGGCATTTCCTATGGGACAGAGAGGCCTGGTAATTATCACACATAACACTTATTTAGTGATTTATAGTTTACAAAGAAACTTTCTATATATTATCTAATTTAATTCCCATCACACTTGAGATGTGATATTGATTTTACAGATAAGGACGTTGAGCCAGAGGTGTGAACTGGCTCTGACCACGGGCACACAGTGTGTCTTCTGCTCAACCTACAGTTGTTCACAATGAGAGCAATATTTCAGGACGCATATTTCAGGACTCTATACATTGCATTACATAAGGAGAAAGAAAGGGTAAGGAGACCACTGCAGAAATCCAGGCATGAGCAAAGGAGATTCTGCACAATTAGTGGCAGTGAGAACAGAAAGGAAGGAGAACACAGAAAACTCTCAAAGGCATCATCTACAGAGATTGATGACTGACTGGATTTAGGGGGCCGAGGCAAAGAGAATCAAAGCCCAAGGCCTGAGTGGAAGAATGCTGGTGCCATTTGCAGAAGCAGAGAGAAAGCTCATTGATAATTCAGACTGGCTGATGCAGTTGAGTTGGAGTGGAAACTGTTCATGTTGTAGCTCCTGCATCTACAACTCAGTGGGTGCTCAAAAATATCTGTTCAGTCAATGAATAAATAATAGTTGAAGTAAGGGGAATGGGTCATTCTTTAACTAAGAATAAAGCATTTGCTAAGAACAGAAAGCCAAGGGTCAGGCCTGGGTGAATGCTCTCAGTCAGGAGAGGCCAAAAAAGCCGGGGTAGGGGGAGGGGGAAGGGGATGGCAGGGAACAGGGTCAGTAATAGGAGAATTTGAGACAAAGTCCTGGGTAGGAATTCTAAAAGTTTATGGTTATTAGACCATGAAGGATGCTTTCTTGCTATTTCAGAAAAGGTATATAGTTTTAGGCATTTCTTCATTGTAGCAAAACATTGACTACCAGGTCCCTTTTGCTTTGGATAAAGAGGTTCCTCCTCAGTTCATTCACTCTTGCATTGTTTCTCACAGGGTCATCCCACAGAACCTCTGACTTAGAATCACTTGCGACATTGCTAAGTCTATAGATTCCTGGGCCCCATTCCAGATTTCCCAAATCATACTTTGGGGGGTACAACCTAGGAATATAAATCTTTACAAGCTCTTTGGTGGTTTTCATGCACACTAAAATTTTAGAATCAGTGCTATATAATAAAAGAAAATGACTGGGAGGAAGAGAATTGGCTAAAAATGACCGGGTATGTAAATTAAAATCCTTAATACATTCCTGGGAACATGCTCAGCATTTGTAGAAGTGTGAAAGGCAAAGCAACACTGAACAGAAATAAATTCTGGAAAGCACCCTGAGAAATCTGTTTTGAGCAAACAGGTTAATTTATCTCTGGTTTGCATCCAAACCCAGTGACACCAAGTTGATGGTAACCAGAAAGCGTTAGGGAATCTCTTTATGGTGAGTGATAGTTTAGGGAGGTGAACATTGCTGGTTTGACATTCAGCCTTAAAACAAACATCAGATTTTTTTCAATTCACATGTTTTCTCTTACCGAACAATTTCCTAATGAAGTACTGGAAAAAGACAACCTTTTTCTCCATTACTGTTTGGACTTTTAGATCACATACATCGCCTGTTCCAACACCTAAATGAAATTAAAAAGGTAGGTTGGTTAGCGTGAAGATCAATATGTCTCACTAATTAACATCATGGATTAAAAAGAGAAAAAATTATCCAAGCTAACAATGTATCAGTAGTTACTTATTTGGTCTTGCATGGATTTTGTCTTTGAAAGACAAGGTTTCAAGCCAAGTTCTGTCTCCTAAAGCAGATTTTATAAGACTAGAGAAGAGAAAAAAATACATAGAGTTCAGCTTCAAAGACTTAGAATCCCATCACTTTATCTTTCCAGAAAAAATATTTAGGGAAGGTAAGATGGGCATGGTGGCTCACGCCTATAATCCTAGCACATTGGGAGGTCAAGGTGGATGGATTACTTGAGGTCAGGAGTTCTAAACCAGTCTGGCCAAGATGGTGAAACCCCATCTCTATTAAAAATACAAACATTAGCCAGGCGTGGTGACACATGCCTGTAATCCTAGCTACTCAGGAGGCTGAGACAGGAGAATTACTTGAACCTGGGAAGAAGAGGTTGCAGTGAGCTGAGATCACACCACTGCACTCCAGCCTGGGCGACAGAACAAGACTCTGTCTCCAAAAAAATAAAAGAAAAAGAAAAAGAAAAAGAAGAAGAAAATTCAGGGAAGGTGACTTGCAACCTTTCTTGCTAATGTGTTGCTTTCTTCAGACTTCTAATCAGAATGATTCTTAATAATAAATACTGTAGTTTAACTACTTTAGCTCTACTTTAAGGCCAGTTCCTGATGCAATCTCTATAAAAATATAGGATAGTTAGATCCAAAAATTCCCGTGGTGTTCAGTGTATATTTACAGACAAAGGATTTTTTGTTCCTTTTTTTCAATTCAAATGACCCACTTCCCTTAGCGTTTCCTCAAAGACTTGGTTTCTCAGCCAATTAATTTTTTTATTGCTTGCCTCTCAACTCTACATTAATTTTAATTCAAATATGTACAAAACTGAAGGTAGAAAATTAAAACAAATATTCTAATAAATTAGTGTATTATCTTTGATAGATCATCTCATATGCTGTTTGTTTTCATTTAATTTTGTTTTCACTAACACCATGATATTCATTTGTCATTAGAAATCACAGTATCTTGCCTCAGTTCCCTCTTTCCCATTCCAGTTGCAGAACTTCTTTCTATTGATGTCGACCAGAAATCAGTGAAATGTAGAACTAAACTCAGAAGGCTAAAAATCCTAGGCTGTCTGTGTGGACACCAGCATCCTGGCACCATGGCACCTATAGCACCCAGCACTGGCACCATCTCAGGTCCACAAGCTGGCTGCTAGTAGAGGTTTGCCTTAGGGGTTCTGAAGCATAGCCTCCCTGCTACCTCTCTGGCAGCGGGAGTGGTGAGGCCCCATCCCTTCCACGCAGACACATCCTGCTTTCCTACCTCCCCTGAGTGTAAGCTGTGAGTGAGAGGGTTACAGATGAGGAGAGAGGGGAAAGGGAGAGCCGAAGGTGATGAGAAAAAAAAATATGCCTGTAAAAGAAGGTGAGAAAATGATACGATCTGGAGACACCTTCACCAAGGCAAACTCTGAACTACAGGTGGTTTGAGAAATAAACAGTCTTGAGGGTACATGGTCCTCCTCCTCCCTCATCAGAGGCTCACTCTGCCCTGAAAAGTCCACCGTGGGTTGAGACCAGAGGAGCAATAAGAACGGGAGAGATGGGAAGGAGATGAAGTCCCCCAAATTGGTGATGGAAAAGAAAAAGTGAAGAACATCTAAGGGATGGCAATCAATGGGCAATTGCAGGAGGAGGGGCATACAGAAGGAGTTCATGTGTGAGGACATGTAAAAAGACAGGTATGAGTCAGGATCATTTGCATATACAACTATGAGCAAAACCCTCCCAGAGTGGGAACATTGGCCCTCCTGCCCAATTCTTCAATTTTACATAAACACTTACCATGAATCGAATAAATAACGAATCTTTTTATAAACAGTGTCTTTCTTGGAGGGAGATTCCAGTTGTAGAGATGTTTCACTTGTGCAAAATATCCAACATATCTATTCTGAAAAGCAACAGAAACCTTACTTTAAGTGGAGATTGAAAAGTCTAAAGTCTGCATTCTTTTTTTTTTTTTTTTTCCGGATAAAGCTTGTTAAGGGAGGTAAGTAATTAAGAAAACATTTACTGGATGCCATTATATAACCAGGCGTTTTTCGGGATGCTGCCTCACAACTATCTACCTTGAGGGAAAAATACTGAATTCAGAGCAATGGGGAAGTAACAAGGATGCAGCCAGGTCCTGTTTATAGGCTGCTTAAGGTTGAGACGGCAACTAATCAGAAGCACAACAAAACAGTTACAGCATCATCAGTGTCCAGAGAGAAGCTTAGCTGTGACTGAGTTGGAGGAAGGCTTGTGGTTTGGTGAAGAGCAGCTTCCTGGGCATGAGAGAATATGGTATAAGTGAAAACTCCAGAGGATACCTCCATACCTCAAGCAGGCTTCCTGTCATTCTTCTTTGGTTCCTGACAGCTAGAATTTCTTCACTTTGCATTTCCTCAGTTCTGTTTTCACAAGGAAGCCCTGGAATTCTCTTAGCCTTTCCCTGGGGCAAGCTGTTCACAATGGCTCGCCCCTGAATCTTTCTTCAAGGCATTGAAGAGCTCTGGTCCTGAATCAACTGGTTCAGAATCCAAAAGTTGGCCATCATGGCGGCTCCCGCCTGTAATCCCAGCACTTTGGGAGGCCAAGGTGGGCAGATCACCTGGCATCAGGAGATTGAGACCAGCCTCGCCAACAGGGTGAAACCCTGTCTCTACAAAAAGTACAAAAATAGGCCACATGTGGTGATGGGCACCTATAATCCCAGCCACTTGGGAAGCCGAGGCAGGAGAACCATGTGAACGCAAGAGGTCGAGGTTGCAGTGAGCTGAGATTGCACCACTGCACTCCAGTCTGAGCGACAGAGCTAGACGCTGTCTCAAAAATTAAAAACAAACCAAAACTCATAAGTTCACAGACTGTTCCTTACCCACTGGTAAATGTTCATTAAAGTAACTAACCCACTGGTGTTCATTAAGGTAACTAACTGCCATACTTTCCTCTAGGAAGGGCCATTCATGAGGAAGGCTCATGAAAGTTCTTAACTTAGGAGTAGATGCAGTCAGTAGAATGGCCCACAATGCAGGATCAGAATGCAATGGTGTCTGAGAATCACCAGCAGACACAGAGGCCACTCTGTCCTGAGGTCTTGCCAACACAGCTCTCAAACGTGCAGCTGAGTCCCTATGTTGCTTTTTCAGTGAATCAGAAGAGATTCAGTTGCAACCTTTGCTGTGCTAGTTCTGGACTAACGTCAGGGAAACTATGCAGGACTGCAGAAGAAACGGGGATGGGGAGATGTGTGGGGAGAGTTGTTGAAGGAGCTCTATTTAGCATCCCCTTAGCTTTTGCCACTAGATTCTCCACCTTTCCCTAAGGGCTGTAAACCACCAGGGCCCTCAAGCTCCTTGTACTCCCATGCTTCCTTCTCCTACAACTTAAAACAATGTGGACTTGTAGTAGAAATTAATACAACCAACACATAGGAGGCACTCACTACAAACAAAGAAGATATTATGAGAAAAGGGTGGAAAGATGGGTAAGCCATGGGCTTTGCCTTTAAAGGGGATACAGAAGTCACCACTTCAAATAACTAGAGAATAACGCAAAGTGACGTAGTCCCTAAAACAAACACAAAGGACTTTAAGAATTGAAAAAGCAAGAGATGACTTCAGGCTGAGAAGGGAAAAGGACTCTAGGAAAAGGGGCACGAGCAATGGCATGAGGGTATCAAGTGGCCATAGGCTGGGAAACAGCACACAGTCTAAATGTGTGGAGTGTGGGATGTGTGCATGCACACAGTGGAAGAAAAGGCTGGAAAAGTCAAACTGCAGCTCCCAAGTGACAGGTTGAAACATTTAGTTTATTGCCATTGGCAGTGGGGAAATAGTATGGATTTTGAGCATGGAAATGGCAGGATTAGGGCTGCACTTCAGTAAATTCACCTATTACTTTTAGCTTAGGGTCTATGACTATCTTTGTTTTGTTTTGTTTTGTTTGGGGCTTGGGTGTGGGAGGAAAGTATCAGTGGATAAGGCTGAGTTCTCCTGGCCCAAACTCAAGGTTTGGGACCAGTAGTTAGAGTGTTCTTCTCATAGGGCCAAGAGTACTCACTCAGCTTCCACCACTTAAAGAAAAACTCATTTATAACCACATCCGAATCTATTCAGGAATTCCCAACCCACTCTCACTTCGGTTTCAGAGGCAACATAGAAAAGGCAATAGAAATGAGAGGCTGTGCACAGCGCGGGCTTCAGAGACTGACATTGAGATTTCAGTCCTTGGTTCAACAGTTACTTTCTCTGAACCTCAATTTTCTAATTTATAAGATGAAAATCATAGTAGGACCTACTCAAAGAGTTACTGAGAATATTAAATGAGATAGTGAATAGACAACTCTTAGAATGGTTCAGCAAAGTCTAGAACGTTGTAAATGCTATAGGATAAACATCCCGGTTTCTGCAATAAACAAATTACAAGTAATAAAAAATGGTGAGAAATTTATGAACTTAGATTCTTAAAAGAGACTTAGAAGACACAGCAACCAAGTGAAATATGTGGACTTTGTTTGAATTCTGATTAAACAAACTAAATTTTCAAAGATTTTAAGACAATTTTGGAAACAACCATGGACTACAAATTTGATATTAAGGATTTTTAAGGTATAATATTTTTAGATATGATAAAAAGTGTTAAGGTTTTTTTTTGTTGTTTTAAGAATACTTAAATGTCATACTAAAATGCTTGTGGGATAAAATGATCTGATGACTGAAATTTCCTTTAAAATTAACCCAGATTTAGGGAAAGCAAGAGTGGAGAGTGGGGTTGGGGGGTTTGAGTAGAGTGGGAAAAGAATGGATGAAACATGGCTGGCTGCAGGCTGAAATGACTGTTGCAGCAATGTGATGACTATGTGAGGATATATTGTATGATTCTCTGCTTTTGTATATGATTAAAATTTTCCATAACAAAATATTTCTAAAAGAAGAAACAGAGTAACAGTGTATATTTCCTATGGGTGTTATGGGTATTAAATGAGATATGTGAAAGTGCAATACTGTCTGATATACAGAAGGGGTTTTGAAAAGTTTATTTCCCCTTTTATTTTCTCTTTTAAAATACACCTCCCTGACAACACACAGAAAAGACACACACACACACACACACACACACACACACACACACCCCAGGAGTCATCCAAAAACAGACTTTGTGATGTTTTGCAAGGGTTGAATTGCCCTAATAAGGGTTTGTGAAGAACTTGGATCTTTTTTAACATTGAAATCAAAGGCTGGTGATTTTAGATAAACTTCAGGGTCCTGGAGCCTTGGGTACTGGACCTTCCTACTTTGGGAAAATAATCAACTCCTGAGTTCCATAAACAATAACCAGTATAGAATAGAAAGCAAGATTCTCTGGGGAGAAGACAGAGTCCCCAACATGTGGGCTGCACCTGAAGCATGACCCTCAGACTCAGGAAGGGACCAAGGCCTGTGGCAGGGCACCCAACTGCTGCTACCTGATCACCAAAGGAGAAGAGTCTAAAATGAAACCAAGTAACAGGTGGCAACCTTAACCCACTCCCCTAAAAAAAAAAACTTCCATTTTTAAAAAGAAAACTTACCTGAGAAGGAGTTTCTACTCCCTGAAATTTATTGCTGTTGGTTTTATCTGTTCACTTTTCTCCAAAATAATACAGGCTTTCCTACAAAAACAAACAAACAAAAAGGGTACAATACAGCCATGGTTCATCTGCACATGTTCCTTTCCTATATTAGGTACCCTTAGTGTTCCTACACCCACCTTCTTTCCTAAAGTCAGTGATTTGTTTGTTTGTTTGTTTTTTGGTAGAGTCTTGCTCTGTGACCCAGACTGGAGTACAGTGGCAGGATCTAAGCTCACTGCAACCTCTGCCTCCTGGGTTCAAGTGATTCTACTGCCTCAGCCTTCTGAGTAGCTGGGACTACAGGTGTGTACCACCATGCCCAGCTAATTTTTTGTATTTTTAGTAGAGATAGAGGTTTCACCATGTTGGCCAGGCTGCTCTCAAACTCCTGACCTCAAGAGATCCGCCTGCCTCAGCTTTCCAAGTGCTGGCATTAAAGACGTGAGCCACCCGTGTCCAGCCGCAGTGATCTTCGGGCAGAGGCATCCAAAATAACAAAATTAGGACTTCTCTCATTCAAGGATTCACAAATTCAGAAAATTTTAGAGCTAGAAAGACCTTAGGAAGCATCTGGTCCAACCCTTCTTTCCATATTACAAATGACAACACTGAGACCAAAAGAAAACCAAGCAATCCGCCCTGGAGATGCTGCAGCCAGTTAGAAGCAGCTCAGGCCAGGAATACAGGTCCCTGGATCTCAGTCTAGGGCTCTGGATCAATAGCTGTCAATGACTTTCAAACCGTTGGTTTTTTAAGCTGCAATCCACATTAATAAACCTAGGAGAAACACAGACACACACCAATATTTAAACCTTTTTATATTTTCTATTCTGCTCTATTCCATTTTATTTTTAAAAGATGTCAGTTACAACCCAGTAACTTTATTTTACAACTCACTGATAAATCATGATCCATAGCTTGAAAAACACCATCCTAGAACATCCATTTTCAAAATCTGTGTACCTCAAATTAGAGAAACCAAAGGTGGTGGAATTGGAGTGCTGGGCATTGCGCATAACCACCACCTCTTCCCGAGACTGTAGGCCAAACAACTCCAGCAGAGCTGCTGGAAATGGCAGCAATTCAGCAAGAAAATGGCGGAAAAGAAAATGACTGAGAACTCTGCTTGAAGTGGAAACAGCCCACCTTGTGTTATCAGAAATTTCTAGAGGTCACAGACTCCACATGTATTGACTAAGCAAAGACATTTACATTCAGGAGAGGCTTTGTTTTGAGTTGTGAAATGTTGCTTTTTATCTACTTAAGAGTTGTGAGGATGGTCAAGGCTGGAGTTATCTAATTAAGCTTGATACTATCCTCATGAGGAAGGAAGAAGTCATGGTACTGGCAGGAGTAAGAGCAGGGCCAGGTGAGGTGAGGGAACTACTGTGATTACTGAATGTTTTTTGTATCTGTGTAACATGGCTTTACTCCCCTCACCTTCATCCTTCCCCATCAGGTCTTGTCTTTATTTAAAATGTTGATATTGTATACATCATAGATTTTTTGCATTAATTTTTGTTGTTAAAATATTGCATTGAAATTATTTATTTTAACTATTGCAATTTTTAGCATTCCCTTAAATTTTGCACCTCATTGACCTCACTCTAGTCCCGGCCCAAAGGGATTCTTAAGTCAGCTAGAACTAGTGCATGTTAAACAAGAAAGTATCGAAAACAGAGTTTCTAAAAACTGCTTCTCTAATTATAATTTTACTAAGCACCATGACTAAAATAATCATCTTAATGTCCTACCAGTGATGTTTCAGAACTAGCAAACTCAATTATCATAAGACAAAGTTTGTAGAACATCTTTAATACCTCTGCAGTTAAAAATATTTTGGAGGCAATAAGGAAGGCACAAATCATAGTTCCAGTTCTTCCTAGAAAAGAAGTTAGTTCAAGGAACATACGTGGTATAAAAATACACTCAGAAATATTCAAGGAGTTCATTTTAAGTTGATTTTCTTTCTTTTTTTGAGACAGGGTCTTGCTGTGTTACGCAGGCTGGAGTGCAGTGGCACAATCTTGGCTCACTGCAACCTCTGCCTCACAGGTGAAAAACACGCAAATTACATTTACAGTAAAAATATCTCACCACCTGTAGGCAAAAGGCCACGATGAGGTTTTTACTAAATCTATAAGAAAGCAACAATTCATGTCTTTTATAATTTTTTTGGATAATAGGAAAAAAGAAAAATTCCCAACTCATTTAGTAACACTAATATAGCTGGTTCTAAAACTGCATAAATACAGTAGATGATTACTTTACACCAGTCTCACATATAAATGTAGATTTAAAAATATATATATATTTTCAAAGTGAATT